AAAAAAAAAGGGAAAAAAAACTTGCTTTCCCAAACAAACAAAAAAAACACAGAAATTAGGTGATCAAGGGCTCACACCCACAACAATTTGTCTTTGGTAATGGCCGGCCTCCTCTCACAAACCCACGCAGAGTTTGTCGAAATTCAAAGATACAGAGAATAGAGAATAGTAGAAAGAGAGGCGGCCAGAGTGAAAGATTGCACGGAAATATTATAAAGAAAGCGTGACTAGAGTAAGAGTCAGTGAGACTGTAAGAAGAAAAACCTAAGAGCTTCTGCGAAGAAGGAGAGGAGAAGAGAAGTGAGAAGACGAAAAAGTCTCTGCCTAGCAAAGCAAAAAGAGAAGAGAAAGAAGAGGCAAATCAGACATTTCACAGAGACATTTCACAGAGGGGCAGAACCGACAGTTGACTGTTTAAAAAACAGTAAACTTCCACCTATAGCAAGATTGTATAATAGCAATAGTACCAAAGATATTGTAACAGATAACATCAAACTTTCTATATGAAGACCCATTGATTGAATCAGATTGCTATTGGGTATCGTACATTGCTGCCTTAGCAAACAAACAAAAGGGAAAGTATCCTCTTTCTGAGTTCTTCAACTGGGCGTTAAGCAATTAGTGTACGGTCTCTGTGATGTAAATTTCCACCATTCATGAGAGACTTTTCATCTCTCTTTTCATTTTCGTGGTTGTTTGGAAAGTGAGAATTTTCACTGTATGCTGCTAAAAAGCTGTTCACATGCATAATACTGAACTTGATAAATAGTAGGATAAGAATATTTTTAATTAATACTATAATTAATATGTGAATTATAAATTTAATATTTAAATGTAAAAAAACTCTGTAATTTTATTTGTTATATTAAATTTGTCATATGTTATATTTTATGACAAATTTCTAATTAAGTATAATATATATTAAATTTAACATTTAATTATTATTAATTAAAATATTTACTTTTTCATATAATTATTGTAACTTTTATATTTTTAAATTATATTAAAAATAAAAATTTATTTTTATAACTTTCAAAAGTTAATGATATAAAAAAAATAGATTTAACATCTCAAATAATATATTATATATTGAAGCACAAATATAATACCATACTTTTCGATGTCAAATATATAATTAATATTAATATTTACATTAAAGATGATTTAATTATTTAATACCGGAGATTGTAATTGTAATATTTAATAAAAGTTGAAAAGCCAAACATTTTTAAGTTAAAAAATAAAAAAGAAAGATACAAAATTGTAAATTGCATGCATGTGGATGTGTGTGACAAGTCTATGCTTCCGGTGAACACCCTCATAACGAGCGCGCATGCAAGACGCACTTTGCACTTATACATGGTCACAAGAGTCAAGTAGAGAATGATAGGAGACTTGTCCTTTTTAGTTACTAGTTTAGTCACGTGCATGATTTTGTAAGTTTAATCACGCCTTAAAATATGCGATTTCTTTAAAAATCAAGTTTATTAATTAGAGCAAAAAAAAGTATTTAAAAAATCACATCAAAAAAGAATTAAAGTTATTTATGAGTTTTTTATAAATAAAAAAACATAAAATCATTTTGATACCTTTTGATATAGTAAAACATTTCGTTAGTACCATGTATTTTTAATAATATTAAAGCGAGACTTTTACCTTTAAATAAACATTTTTTTAGTATCTTGAGATCAATTTTTTGAACATATAAGGCCTGTTTGTTTGCGTTTTCATTTCCGTTTTTCAAAGTAAAAAATTGAAAACGGGTGTTAAAAACGTGTTTGGTGCAAGTTTTTTTAAAAACAAAAACAAAAATGTTTTTGTCTTTTTGTGGAAATCAGAAAACGAAAAAAACCCGTTTTCCCATTTTCGTTTTCTTCCTTTTCTCTTCCGTTTTCTGCTTCAGCCATTCTTCAGCCCAGATTCTTCAAGCTTCTTGCCAGCTGAGCTCCTCTGTTCTTCTCGCCGGATTCGTTTTCTCCGGTTTCGTTCTCGCCTGAGATTTCTCCGTTCAGACTCCTCCGGTTTCCTCCGTTCTTCCCGTTCTCGTCTCGGCCTCTTCTCACCAAGGTATGGCTCTTCTCACCGATGAACCCGTTTTCTGATTTGGTTTCCTTCCCGCTGGAGTTGGTTAAGTTTTTTTTAGTTGATTTTTGAGTTTTTTTAGCTGATTTGGTTGTTTTTTTTTTAGGTTTTTTTTATAATGATTTTGAACATGATATACTCAACGAAATCGGTTGATTTCCATTTGATTTAGTTAGTATTTTGTCTAATTTTTTGATTATCTGAGTTGCTAAATTTTTTTCCCTTTTTTTCCTGGGAGCCTCCCATTGGGGCTGCATCAGCCCCTAATAGGGGGCTGATTATCAGCCCCTAATGGGGGCTGATAATCAGCCCCAACGGGGGCTGATAAGCAGCCCCAATGGGGGCTAAATCAGCCCCTGGGAGGCCTCCATTGGGGCTGAATCAGCCCCTGGGGGCCTCCTATTGGGGCTGACCAGGGAGGCCCCAATGGGGGCTGATTTCAGCCCTGATGGGGGCTAATTATCAGCCCCCATCAGCCCTATTGGGGGCTGCTTATTGGGGGCTGAAAATCAGCCCCCATTGGGGCTGATGGGGGCTGATAATCAGCCTCAGCCCCCAATGAGGCTGATGGAGGCTGATTTTCAGCCCCCATCAACCCCATTAGGGGCTGATTATCAACCCCAATGGGGGCTGAAAATTAGCCCCCATCAGCCCTATTGGGGGATGATTATCAGCCCCAGCCCCCAATGGGGCTGATAGAGGCTGATTTTCAGCCCCCATCAACCCCATTGGGGGCTGATTATCAACCCCAATGGGGGCTGAAAATTAGCCCCCATCAGCCCTATTGGGGGCTGATTATCAGCCCCAGCCCCCAATGGAGCTGATGGGGGCTGATTTTCAGCCCCTATCAACCCTATTGGGGGCTGATTATCAGCCCTGATGGGGGCTGATTTTCAGCCCTAATGGGGGCTGATTTTCAGCCCTAATGGGGGCTAATTTCAACCCTGATGGGGGCTGATAAATCAGCCTCCATCAACCCCAATGAGGGCTGAAAATCAACCCCCATCAATCCCATTGGGGGCTGATTATTAGCCCTGATGAGGGCTGAATCAGCCCCAGGGGGCCTCCCATTGGGGCTAACCTGGGAGGCCCTAATGGGGGCTGATAATCAGCCCCTATGAGCCCCAATGGGGTCTGATTTCAGCCCTGATGGGGGCTGATAAATCAACCCCCATTAGTCCCGTTGGGGGCTGATTATCAGCCCCCATCAGACCCTGCGTGTGTGTGTGTCTATGTGTGTGTATATACTTTACAAATTGACATTTATTTTAATTGTTAAAAGTGTTATTTTAGATGTGTGATCCTCTATTTAGACAATATGTGGTCGATTTACCCGTAGAAGATATTGAGGGAGAACAAGAAGGGCAACAGGAACAACAACATGGTATGGATGCACAAGAAGCAGAAACATCTGAAATGGGTAGTCGGCAACAATGTAATTACATGGTTAATTAAAGAGATCGTCTAGCTAATCAAATGTGGGATTCGTATAGGCGATAATAATTTAAGCTAATATTGTAATTTTTATATTTTATTAATTATTAGTATTTTTATTTGTGATTCAATTATTATTTATTTAATATATTAAATACATGTTTTCAAAAATGAAACCACCAAACGCAGTTTCAGTTTTTTTTAAAACTGAAATCAATCTCTAAATAAAACTACTAAACGCATTTTCAGAAATAATTCAAAAATGAAAATGAAAACGTTTTCATTTCCATTTTCGTACAGAAAACAAAAACGTTTTGGAATCAATTCCAAACGCACCCAATGATTTTCAACACAAGAAAGAGCAACTTATCTTTGATATTGCCAAATAAACGTACGTCAGAATGTAGCAAATGGTTATCAAGTTCAAATGCGCTCGATGAAATGGTAAAGAATAAAAGAGTGTTGATCAACATTAGTTAGATAGCAAGTCAAGATTCGAAACTAGAGCGCGCCTCTTCTAGGAGTCTCTCAGTAAGAGCCTTTGGGAGTCCCATCACGCTGTCAGTTGTCCCTACCTGCATAAAAACAACAAGGTAGCAGTACCACATTATATAAGCCTCGTTCATTTAACCGATTTGAGTTTTTAATTTTAAGTTTTTACAGTTAAAAGCTCTCAAAAAATATCACATCTAACTTTTTTTCTACAGTTAAAAGCTCTCAGAAAATGTCACATCTCAGCTCAAATTGAAAACTCGAATCCGCGAAGCGAACGGAGCCATAGTAGATAATGAATGTGCATGTAAAATATCCAGTTCATTTGACAGTTTTAAGTAGATGCAATGTCACCACACCCTGGGTCAGGATGCTCGTCATTGCCTCCACTCTCAACTAATAAGGCTACTAATGAAGGATATAATTTATAGAATGTTAGGATCCGTTAATGACTAGTAGAGCTAGTATGAATTAATATAAATAAAGGGCTTAGTAGCTCATTAGGGGAGGCTATGATTTTAAGAGTTTTGAGAGGCTGAGATTAGGGAGAGTGGGTGGTCTCTCGAATACTATTTAAGTTTAGAGTTCTCTGGAGTCATCGAATACTCCAGTCTATCCTAAGCTTTCTTTACGTTTTTTTCTTAGTTTCGTTGTTAAATTCTATGAGCTAGTGTTGATGATGATCAATAACACCATTCTGATTGCCTTCTATTCTTGTTCTTCTATGTAAAAATTGAGCTGTGAAAACCAAGTTCCTAACATTTTAGTATCAGAGCAATTGATTCTCGAAAAAAAAAAGAAAAAAAAAAGAAAGAAAAGAGTAAATGGAATCAATGAGAGAAAATGGAATCGATGCTTCAAAGTGTGAAGCGGATCATTCGATTGTTAGAGGAGCCGGACCACAAAGCATGGGTGGCTGAAAGTGGGAAAATGCCGGTGAAGGATACGTGGTCGCAACCAGAAGAACAGGGCCGATGAACAATGACGAACGCATTGCGATCTGGTTAACTGAGTCGCAATCAGATCTAAGCACTAAACATCGGGTTCCGCGATCTAATTGGAATTACAAAGCAAGGGTTTCGAACTGCGAAACCATGATGGAGTTGGAGCATCAACGTCGACGAACGACGCCAAATGGGGCGCAACCAGATCCAAAATCGCGCGAGGTCGAAGATAGGGAAAATCTTGGCAATCTAGAGCTAGATCGTCTAGATCTAAAGTGAATGGTAGCAGATTCACGACAGAATTGAGCGTCGCCAAGGCTGCGCTTCACGATTTCGGTATATCCGAGGCTGATTCCAGTCGGATTTGGAGGGTGTCTCGCGGTTCCAATGCCGTTTTAACTCATTCAGATGCCGTTTTAACTCATTTGGGTGCCGTTTTGGCTGATTCTGAGGAGTTTATGGTAATGTCTTGGAATTTAGTCGTGTTCGGGGAAGATTATGCAGCAAATTGGACTGGGTCTCGTGATTCCGTCATGGTTGGGGCAGATTTTGGCCGGGTTAGGACTAGGTCACTTGATTTCAGCGAGATTCGGGTGGATTCTGACGAAGGCAAGACCAGATCTTCCAATTATGGTGTGTGCAGGGCCAATTTCAGCGTTGTGGCGACTGGACGTCGCACTTCCAGCAAGATTGGGGTTAAGTTTGACGCCATTGGAGCTGGGTCTCAAAATCCCAGCGAAATTTGGGCCGGGTCCTCAAAATGTGAAAATTCACGAAGTGATTTTGGGGTTGATCCTTGGGTTTTTCAATCTGATATGGGCAAGGTGAATAGAGTTTCGCCATCTTGTTGGTTAGGAGATCCTAGGGTATTGAACAGGAGAGGGGGAAGGTAGCGTGACACGCTGTGGGAGAACAGATCGGATTGGTGTTTTCAACGAATGGAGATACCGCTATTCACTGGAGAAAATGCTAATGAGCGGGTCTTTAGAGCTGAACGTTATTTTCTATTGTATAGATTGACAGAAAGAGAGAAAAAAATGGGCTGCAAAAGAGGCCATGGAGGGTGATGCTTTGGTTTGGAATCAATGGCAACATGGTTGTCGGTTGTTCCGCGGTTGGGATGAATTGAAAGCTCATTTACTACAGCGTTTCCAATCAACGCAAGAAGAAACCGTCTATGGGAGTTTCGTGGCGAAAGAGCGAGCGGATACCAAGGCTGATTTCGGACGACAAATCGAGGTACTTGCTACACCTTGGAAAGAGATATCAAATGCAGTTTTGAGAGAGATATTGTTGTGGTTTAGCTTGTTTGTGAAAAGTCCCACATTGTTTTTGTACGAAGGGGCTTGGATTTTTGGCTTTTATAAATAAGCTCTTCCCCCTCCTTTGTTTAGTATCCAAAACTCCTCTCTTCTTACTCAACTTTAAGGAGGTCCTTTAACAAGGATATCCTCGTAGTGGGTCATAAGTACCCTAAAGTTGTCATTGCTCCTTGAGATTAGTGAAGTGATCTACTACGGTGGTGTCCCAAGGACGTAGGCAATTTGCTGAACGTCGCTAAATCTTGGTGTGTTTTTTATTTTTATTCTTGCTTTAGTAATTTTGCATTCTGGTATTTTTTTTGTAATTGTTAGTATTCAGTAGCTATCTGTCGGGTTATTGTACCATTCTTAGGGTACTATTCATAGTTGTTTTTGAGTGGAAAATACCTGATTTTCCCAACAAGTGGTATCAGAACCAACGGTTCATCCTAGGCTTTGTCGTATTGTTTGCTACTGAATACTTTTGTTTGGTGTCATAATGACGACGGAAGTACCAACTTCAACGAAAGTTGAAGCATCAACCCCCTCACCCATTTTGACAAGAAGCATAATGTCAAATGCAAGATTTGCAGTTGAGATATTTGACGGTACCGGTCATTTCGGCATGTGGCAAGGCGAGGTGCTAGACGCTTTCTTTCAACAAGGTCTAGACATTGCCATCGAAGAAAAAAAACCAGAAGATGTTCAAGAAAAGGATTGGAAGACTACTAACCGCCTAGCGTGTCAGACAATTCGTTCGTGACTGTCCAGAGAACAGAAGTATGCGTTCAAGAACAAGACTTCTGCAAATAAGTTGTGGAAGGCGTTGGTAGACAAATTTATGAAAAAGAACAGTCAAAATAAGCTCCTGATGAAGAAAAGATTATTCCGCTTTGATTATCGACCAGGTACCAGTATGAATGACCACATTACTGCTTTCAATCAATTAGTAGCGGATTTGTTAAACTTAGACGAAACTTTCAAAGATGAAGATTTGGCTTTAATGTTATTGTCATCTCTTCCTGACGAGTTTGAATGTTTAGAAACTCACTTCATGGCAAATAAGAAGTATCTCTTGCTGTAGTTTGTGCTGCTTTATATAGTTATGAATTAAGAAGAAAGAATAAAAAAGAAAGCAAGAACTTAGCAGCAGAAGAAGCATTGGTAGTTAGAGGCCGTCCGCAAAGCCAGAAGCAGGGAAAGCAAGGAAGAAGAGGGAGATCTCATTCAAAGGCCAGACTTGAAAAAGACGAGTGTGCTTTCTGTCGAGAGAAAGGACATTGGAAGAAAGACTGTCCGAAGCTAAAAAAGAAAGGAAAAGCTGCTCAAGATGCATGTGTAGCTGAGTACGATAGTGATAATGTAGAGCTCTCATTGGTGGTTTCACCTTCAACATCCTGTTCAGACGAATGGATATTGAATTCGGATTGTACCTATCATATGTGTCCTGTTCATGAGTGGTTCTTCAATTTCGAAGAGCTAAATGGAGGAGTTATTTACATGGGAAACGACAAAGCCTGTAAAACAACTAGATAAGCTCAATCTAACTAAAGAACCAAGATGGAGGAACCAGAGTTCTGACAGATGTTCGATATGTGCCGGATTTGAAGAAGAATCTAATCTCTTTGGGAGCCTTGGAATCCAAAGGCTCAATTGTGACAATGCACGATGGAATTCTAAAGGTAACCTCAAGTGCACTGGTGGTGATGAAAGGTATTAGAAGAAATAACTTGTATCACTACCAAGGTAATACAGTTATTGGAGCTGCAGCAACGGCAACTTCCGGCAATGACAGAGAGTCAGAAGTAACCAGGTTGTGGCATATGCAGTTGGGACATGCTGGGGAAAAATCCTTGCAGACTCTGGTCAAGCAAGGATTGTTGAAAAGTGCAAAATCTTGCAAATTAGATTTTTGCGAGCATCGTGTTCTGGGAAAGCAAAAGAGAGTGAAGTTTGGCACTGCTATCCATAATACAAAAGGTATTATGGACTATATTCACTCAGATGTATGGGAGGGACCTTCCAAGACGACGTCTCTGGGAGGAAAGCGCTACTTCGTCACATTTGTTGACGACTTTTCCAAAAGAGTTTAGGTGTATACAATGAAGACCAAAGATGACGTGCTTGGAGTTTTCCTTAAATGGAAAACTATGCTCGAGAAATGATCAAAGTTCTCAGAACAGACAACGGAGGAGAATATACAAGTAATCTATTCCTTGATGTTTGCCAAAAGTATGGCACAGTTCGACACTTAACGGTCAGAAAAACACCACAGCAGAACGGGGTGTCAGAGTGCATGAATCAAACATTGGTGGAGAAATTTCGTTGCATGCTGTCTAATGCTAGGTTAGGTAGACAATTTTGGGCTGAAGCTATGACATATGCACAACACCTTGTTAATCGTTTACCATCGTCCGCAATTGGTGGTAAAACACCTTTAGAGGTATGGTCTGGAAAACCTGCTACAGATTATGATTTCTTGCATGTATTTGGTTCCACTGCATACTATCATGTTAAGGAATCGAAGTTAGATCCGAGGACAAAGAAGGCACTCTTTATGGGAATAACCTCAGGAATAAAGGGATATCGATTATTGTGGAAATTTGAGCGGAAAAAATTGAAGGAATTGTATATTACATGACAATTACAACCGGTTTATATACAGGAGCCCTAGCCTATAGAAACGGCAATCACATCTCATAATATGTGGGATATCACACTAAAAAAGGAAACTAACCAAATCAACCTAATTCTAGGGAAACTAACTATTATATTCAAACTTTCCTAATTTAGTCTATACACGTGTAAAACACATTCTTCCACAATTATGGTGTCCAGAAACGAAGAAAGTAGTCTTTAGCAGAGATGTTACCTTTGATGAATCTGCCATGTTAAAGGTAACAAGTGAAGCTGTTCAAACTGATGGTACTCCGCAACAGGTGGAGGGTACTCCACAGAAGGTAGAGTTTGAAGGGACGATGACTAGCCCAGATAGGCAAGCAGAAGCTGACACTCTAGTAGTGGCAGAGGAGGAGTCAATTGAGGAAGAAGTTCCGACTCAAGAACCTTTACAGCAACAATCAATTGCAGTTCAAAGGCCAAGACGAGAGATTCGCAAACCTGAGCGATTCATTAACATGGTGGCCTATGCACTTCCAATTGTAGACGATGATGTACCATCCACTTATCGAGAAGTAGTACGAAGTACAGAAAGTGAAAAGTGGAGGAAAGCCATGGATGAAGAGATGCAGTCTCTTCATAAGAACAAGACCTTGAAGCTGGCGCAACTACCAAAGGGTAAGAAGACAATTGGTTGCAAATGAGTATTTGTAAAGAAAGAAGGATTTCCTAACAAGAATGATGTTCGCTACAAGGCAAGGTTGGTGGCTAAGGGCTACGTTCAAAAGGAGAGAATCGACTATAATGAGGTATTTTCTCCAATTATGAAGCATTCCTCCATTAGAATTTTGTTGGCCTTGGTAACTCAGTTGAATTTGGAGCTAGCTCAACTAGATGTGAAGACCGCGTTCTTACACGGTGATTTAGAAGAGAATCTACATGACCCAGCCAGAAGGATTTACAGTTGCTGGAAAAGAAAATTGGGTTTGCAAGCTGAACAAATCACTGTACAGATTGAAGCAATCTCCGAGGCAATGGTACAAGCGATTTAACAAGTTTATGATGAGGCAAAAGTACACCAGAAGCAAATACGATCATTGTGTGTATTTGCGCAAGCTACAAGATGGTTCTTTCATTTACTTACTCTTATAAGTTGATGATATGCTGATTGCATCAAAGAGCCAAGCAGAGATAGAAAAATTAAAGGCTCAGTTAAATCAAGAGTTCGAGATGAAGGATCTAGGTGAAGCCAAGAAGATTCTCGGGATGGAGATAAGCAGAGACAGATCGAGAGGCAAGCTTTGTTTGACTCAGAAACAATATCTGAAGAAGGTACTACAACGTTATGGAATGAATGAGAATTCAAAACCCGTAAGTACCCCACTTGCCCCTCATTTGAAACTAAGTTCGCAATTATCTCTGAAGAATGTTGAAGAGCGAGAATATATGGCGAAAGTTCCGTACGCTAATGCGGCGGGTAGCTTAATCTATGCAACGGTGTGTACGAGACCTGACATTTCACAAGCAGTTGTAGTGAGCAGGTACATGCATAATCCAGGCAAAGGTCATTGGCAAGCTGTGAAATGGATTCTACGGTATATACAAAATATTGTAGATGTTGGTTTAGTATTCGATCGGGATGATACACTTGGTCAATATGTAGTTGGATATTGTGATTCCGACTATGCTGGTGATTTGGATAAGCGGCGATCTACTACTGGCTATTTGTTTACTCTAGCTAAGGCGCTAGTAAGTTGAAAGTCTACCTTGCAGTCGACGGTTGCTTTGTCTACAACAGAGGCAGAGTATATGGCGATTACAGAGGCTGTTAAGGAAGCAATTTGACTTCAAGGGTTGCTTGAAGACATCACAGTACATTGTGACAGTCGGAGCGCTATTCACTTAGCAAAGAATCAAGTTTTTCATGCAAGGACGAAGCACATTGACGTTCGCTATCACTTTGTGCGCGAAATTCTTGAAGGTGAGATACTCCTTCAGAAGATTGGGACTACAGAAAATCCTGCAGATATGATGACCAAGGTTGTAACAACGGTCAAGTTCAAACATTGTTTGGACTTGATTAACATTCTGCACATTTGAGTTGGCGCCAAAAGGCGCATTTGGTGGCACTACCCAGGACAACTTCTTTTGCTTAAGGATTTAGGAAATTGAGTGGGACTGACAAACGCGCTAAGGTGGAGATTTGTTGTGTTTTAGCTTGTTTGTGGGAAGTCCCACATTGTTTTTGTATTAAGGGGGCTTGGACTTTTGGCTTTTATAAATAAGCTCTTCCCCCTCCTTTGTTTAGTATCCAAAAATCCTCTCTTCTTACTCAACTTTAAGGAGTTCCTTTAACAAGGATATCCTAGTAGTAGGTCATAAGTACCCCAAAGTTGTAATTGTTCCTTGAGATTAGTGAAGTGGTCTACTATGGTGGTGTCCCAAGGACGTAGGCAATTTGCCGAACCTCGCTAAATCCTGGTGTGTTCTTTCTTTTTATTCTTGCTTTAGTAATTTTGCATTCTGGTATTTTTCTGTAATTGTTAGTATTCAGTGGCTATCTGTCGGGTTTGTAGGCTGCGTATTGTACTGTTCTTAGGGTACTATTCATAGTTGTTTTTGAGTGGAAAATACCTGATTTCCCCAACAGATATCACTACCAAGTTGAAAGTCAATAAAGAGCATGAAATAGGAATTTCAAGTGGGCTGCTTTTGGCTCACACTAAAGCTATTTCAGATCAGCAAATTGATGCTCAAGGAGAGTTTCCTTCAAAGAATCTCATCAGGAAGGTGGACCAAGGCGTTGCAAATGAAGATGACTTTCAAACCAATGCCAAGAATGAGGGGCTTCAAGGTGTGTGGAACAAAATCTCAATGACATCAAACTTTTCTAAGGATATTGCCATAGAGAATGTGTTTGATGCACCAGTGAAAGAAGTTAAAGAAGGTGGAGGCCATTCTAGTATTGTAAAAGGTCTTATTGGTTCGGATTTTAGCAATTGTGGGGGTGTTGACAAAGGAATGGAGAAAGTACACTTGCATATTCCCTCCATTGTTGGTGTTTTGAAGAACAGTGAGGCAAAACTCTTTGATACGGTGGAGTATAAACTGCAGCAAGATAAAGCTGGTGAGAGGAGGGTGACTAGTATACATGATTTGATTGGGATAACCAGCAAGCTCTTGCATTCTTATGTGGATAAGTTTTTGGATGAGCTTCTTGGATTAGTTGATTTCACTATGGTTCACAATTCAGGTTCCAAACAGAAGTGTGAACTTGGCAAAACAAGGAAGTTATCAAGAAGATTTGAAGCAAGTTCTGTTTGTTTCATGGAGCTCACAAAGATCTTTGTTCTTTCCCATGTTGATGTACTATTGCAGTTTTATTTTCTGGTTTTCACCTTGAGGACAAGGTGAATGTTTAGGCGGGGGGTAATGTTAAGATCCGTTAATGACTTGAGAACTTGTTTGGTTAGTGGGCTAGTAGAGTTGGTAAAAATTAGTATCAATAAAGGGCTTAGTAGCTCACTAGGGGAGGCTGTGATTTTGAGAGTTTTGGGAGACTGAGATTAGGGAGAGCGGTGGTCTCTCGAATACTATCAAAGTTAGGAGTTCTCCAGAGTCCTCGAATATTCCAGTCTATCCTAAGCTTTCTTTGCATTTTTTCTTAGTTTGGTTGTAAATTCTATGAGCTAGTGTTGGTGATGATCAACAAAACCACTTTGATTGCCTTATATTCTTATTCTTCTGTGTGAAAATTGAGTTGTGAGAACCAGGATCCTAGCATAGAACCATCACGGCATAGATAGAGAGTAACAAACTGACCACTTGCTTTACTAACGGCAGAATTAGAGGATGCTCGATTATCAATCCCCCGGCAACATTAAGCACAGTGCCCTCCTCAATCTGACATAAACAAAAAGTGGAAAAAAAAGATTTTATAGTTTTTGCCCTATCAGAATAATCAAGAGAAAAATTGCATAGAGAGAGCTTCTTTACCAGACTTTCAATGACTCCATCAGGTATTTCATGGAAATAGATCTGCAAGGGATTAGAATATGGATATTCTTTAGTTTAGCACTATAAAAATATGGTCAATGAAGGCTACAACTTTCTGTCCAACAATAACTACTTTTGGAAGTGAAGTATTAATTAGCACCAAAAATGGTTGGAGACGTAAAATTTTACAAGAAGATAGGAAGATAAGATAAAGGTGGAACGCAGATAGCAGTTTCCCCAACTGTTGCAATAATCTCAGTGATAAAATATCAATGGGGAAGTTGCATATGTGGAAAATGGAAATGTAGCACTCACTTTAGAGGAACTTGTATGCTGTAAAATAGCATTCGCTTAAGTCAAAACAAGAACATTATTACGGACACTTATTACCTCTTTCCTGTGGATTATAGAACTTTTTAACAACGGCAGGAATAATCATAGATAAGAAGACTCTAACTATCATCTACTCGAATTCAAATTTAGAAATAAGGATGAGGAAAATAATTAATAAAAATTGCAAAAATTTGATTAAAAAGAACAGAAGCAAGCAATACCTCCACGCAGTCCCAATCTCCTTTTCTGAATCCAGTTTTAAGGTTTGTAACAAGCACAGATCCCACTGTTGCAGCATGCCCCCCTGAGTAATCTGCATTGGATGTTGCAAAACTAATGTTAGAATAAGCGATAGACAGCACTGAACTTGTAGTAAATTGAAACAGAAGCAAACCTTTCATGAATTTCCGTGCTTCTTCCTTGCTGGAAGGTTTTTCCCTGACTACACCTTCATAGACCACCACCTCCAGATCATTTTACATTACACGTAAGAAATTGCACAATATGACTCACAGAAAAACAATTGAACATGTAATACAGGCAATATGATCATCAACAAAAGGCCACTTATGTTGGAGGATTCGTGCAACATAATGGCTATGGTACCAACTTTATTATAAGACAGTGAGACAACTGGTATAAAAAAATATTATTGTGTGGCAACGCTGAATAATAAACAGTTCACAAAACAGATACTCGCGTAAAGGATTAATATGGGGGTACCAACTTTATTATAAGACAGTGAGACAACTGATCAGCTCCCAGAAAACAATTACAACATGTGAACCAATAATGTCAAGGAGATTACTTTACATGTTACAATTTTTACTCATTTTAAAATGATGTTAGGAGCAAAAAATTCAGTAACGGGGAGCACTTAGGTGGAAACACAAACTATGGCTGACATGTAATCAGTACAGAATGCCATGACTGAACTACTTTCATTCATGTATATTACTAAATACATAACTAAGAACAGAAAACACAAGGATAAGTATTGCAAACCGGTGCTTTGTAGTTTTTTAAAGTTACCCCTGAGTAGGAAAGCAAACATGTCAAATAATGCAGTTTTGAAGTTTTCTTCACAAGGTAAACGAACGCAATATATTACTAACTGTGAGACCAAATATCTTGAGAGCTTTGGTTTATACTTGATCTGATGTAATTAATAAAGTTGGCTCAGCATCCTTTATGTAGTCACCAATGGGGAACCTCTGAAGGATGGCTTCTGCCTGAGAACAAGTTTCCATCAGGTAAGTATGCAGTCACAGTTCCAGTACAACCAGAAACTAGTAGTACTTGTTAATAGATTAATTACCAGCGTATCAAATATTAATATGAAGCAAGGGTTCTGATCAACAGTCGGTATATCCAACATGGAGCTCATGAAAGACCAGATCAACAGAACAACGCCAAAAAAAAAAACAAAAACAAAAACAAAAACCAAAACAAAAGAAAAACACTGACATACACAAACATAAATTTCTCAATTCTCACTTAATTGTCCAAAAGTATATTAAATTTTCCAAAGACAAAAATTTAAAAATTAAAAACTCCCTATTTTGTCAAAAATAAATTGCATCCTCCTTTCATAAGTGGCCCTAGGTGATACCATATTTTGATTCCCATGTTGCTAAACAGAGAATCATCTTTTGCACATGTAAAAACATGAATAAAAGATGCATGTCCGAAGTAGCAAATAAAAGGCATACTGCCCCAGAGGGTTTGGATGGAGTGGCTGTGGGCTCCTCCTTAGACTCTCACTAAGGGAGAGATCCACGTTCAAGCCCTGGGATCCCCCAATCTCAAAGAGTGCTTACTGATCAAAAAAATAAAATAAAATAAAATAAAATAAAAGGCATACTGTATCCGCTGCAACTAATATTGTGGGTTCATCATCCTTCTTTTGACTATCCAAAGTTCGTATTTTTGATAAGATGGCGTCAGCCTGACATATTAACACGCAATCAACTGAAAAAACGTTCACTTTCTACCAACAAAAACTGAAAAAACTTGAACACTTGAACTCAAGCCTGCTCGGTGTACAATACACCAAAAAGCAGCCAAGGCAAAG